GGGGCCGAGGCCGGGACCAGGGTCAGAACCGGAGCCGGGGCCGGACGAGGCCGCACCGCCGCCGCGCCGGAACTTCCGGGTCGCGCCGCCGTTTCCGCCTGACCCGGAAAAGCGTCCGCACCCCGGGAGCGCAAGGCCGCGCCCACCCCACTCTGATTGGTTGGTGCGAGCTACACCCCGCCCCCCGGCACTGAGAAATGGCTATGATTGGTTTATCTGCTCGCCCGCCGCGCTCTGACTGGCCAGCAGATGTGTGGGTGGGGCGGAGAGTTTGAAAACGCAGGGGCGGGGCAGGGGCGGGGTCAGCTCTCCGTTCACCGCTTCCTATTGGCTGTTCCCGAGTAAGCCACGCCACCTGTTCCTGGCCCTGCCCGTTCCGCGGTGAGGGGACGCGGGAGGGCCTCGCGAGATGCTGCCCACCTTGCCAGCCCCCCGCGATCTCCTCTGCTCCTCCCAGGCGTCTGTCCTGCTCCCGGTGCCACGGCCTCGTGCTGTGTACCCCACGCGTGCCGCGGACGCTGCGCCCTCGTTATCTCTGCCCCGCTAATTAGTGGAGGAGTGCCAATGCCAGCGCCTGGAGTGGTGCCCGCCGGCCATGCCAGCCTGGCCCTGCCCCAGCAGGGACATCACCGCGGGGGTTTTGAGGCCCCTCAGTGACACGGCACCTTCCCCTTCCAGTTCCTGGGGGTCACCCAACTGTGCCACCACATCCACAGTGCCCACCTGGAGCTCATCGTCCTCCTCCCTCACCCTTGCCCAGGCAGGTACTCCAGGAAAGTATCCTAGGCAGGGACCCTGTAAAGGTATCCTGGGCAGGGATCCCGGGCAAATACCACAGACAGGATTCCTGGGCAGGGATCCTGGGAAAGCATCCTGGGCAGGTACCCAGGCAAGGACTCTGGGCAGGAACCCTGGGCAGGAACCCTGGGCAGGTATCCAGGAAAAGTACCCTGGGCATGGATCACGGGCAGGATTACTGGGCAGGTGTCCCAGTCAGGTCCCAGCTGGGCCGAACTCACCCATGCCCACAGTGCTGTGTCCAGTGGGATGCCATCGGCCTGTGCCACCCGCGGGAGGGTGGCAGGAGCTGCCAGGGCCCCGTGCCAGGGCCGGGAGGTGGCTGCTCTAATTCCTTTATTCCAGCCGGTTGTGCAGACACAAAGCAGGCATGGCCCAGCTGCTGGCACTGTCCCCTTGCCATGGGCACCAGGGGCACCAGGGCTGAGGATGGCACAGGGAATGGCACCAGGACCATGGCAACAGTGGGTGGCACCAGGGATGGCACTGGGGGTGGCTCCAGGGGTGGCACTGGGGCCATGGCAGCACTGGGGATGGCACCGGGGACAGGCACGTGGGCACACACACTGGCCCCTCCCTCACCTCTTGTCCCTCTCCCCAGGGAATTTTTCCAGGCCATGCTGGAGCTGCTGTGGGAGCCACCGGACACAAGGCCACCCCCAGGGCATGGGCACAGTCGATGGTACCATATAGGGGGAACCTGCCAGGAGGTCCAGCCCTGAACCGCCTCTTGGGACGGTTTGCAGTGCTGGCACAGCCCAGAGGGACCCAGAAGAGGCTGACCAGGAGGTGGGACCCCCCTCAGTGGGATGTGGGTGATGTGGGGCACCCCAAAATGTCCCCGTGCCTCTCTTGGTGACCCCTGTGCCCACCCACAGGGAGTCAGGCTGAGCCAAGTGGGGTTAAACCAAGCTGGGCTGAACCAAACTAGGCTGAGCTGAGCCTGGTTAAGGTGACTTGAACTGAGCTGAGCCAAACCAGGACACCCCAAACTGGACTGAGTTGAGCCTGGTTGAACTGAGCTGAACCAGGCTGAGCCAGGCCTGGGCTAAGCAAGACCAGGTTAAACTGAGCCAAGCTGAACTGAACTGAGGTGAGCCAAGCTAAGCTGACCCAGCTAGTTCCAATCTGACACAACTGGTTCTGATCCAATCTGAGCCGACTGTTTCCCATGCAATCCAACCCGATCTGACCCGATCCAAACCTGGCTGAGCAAAGCCGGGTTAAACTGAGCCAAGCCCAGCCAAGCTGAGCTGAGCTGAGCTGACTGGTTCCAATCTGATCCAACTGGTTGTGATCAGACCTCAGCAGAGCTGAGTAGAGCTCAACTGAACCAAGCTGGGCTGAGCCAAGTGGTTCCAAACAGACACGACTGGTTCTGATCTGATCCAACAGGTTCTGATCCCACCGGGCCATGATGGGGGTGCTGTGGGAGCTGGGCTGAGCCAATGGGTTCCAATACAACCCAACTGGTTCTGATCCGATCTGATCTGGGCCGGGTTGAGCTGAGCCCAGCGGAGCTGAGCTGAGCTCACTGGTTCTGGATCCGACCTGACTAGTTCTGATCCAAATCAAACTAAGCCAAACCGAGCTGAGCTGGGCTGAGCCATCTGGTTCCAATACGACCTGATTGGTCCTGGATCCGAACCGAACCGAGCTGAGCTGGGCTGAGCCAACTGGTTCCAGTACAGCCTGACTGGTTCTGATCCGATCCCACCCGAGCGGTTCCGATCCCACCCGAGCGGTTCCGATCTGACCCGACCCGACCCGACCCGCGCCCCCTCCGCGGGGCTCCGCACGTGACGTCACTGCGGGGGCGTGTCCCCGCGGAGCCGCGCGGCGCGCACCCGCCGCCGCCCCTCACGGCCGCTCCCGCCTCAGCCAGGCCCCCCCGGGCCGTCCCTCCCCCCCCTCACCGCCCCTCACGGCCGCTCCTGCCTCGGCCGAGCCCCCCCGAGCCGTCCCTCCCCC